CGCCATCCCGACGTCAGGAACAAGGAAAATAAACAGTGTTCGTGCCGGTGTAGGGACAGGTGGGTGTGGTGGAACAGTAGCTAATATGAACCGTGTGAAAATATACACCATACCGACGGACTGTATGGAGAAGTTGTGAGGGGAGGGGGGCTGGATCAACACTAATGATGGTGGAAGTTGAAATTTAATGCAAAACAGGAAAAACCTCCGTCATGTATGCTTTCAAGCAAGGGGGTCTAATGATATTAGTTATAATATGGATCCTTGTTTAACCGAACGGGCAACTATTATAGTATCTAGAATGGTATACAGACAAAAACGATTATCTAAGTTATACAATAACACAATATTAACGTTACATCTACGTATACATAATGCGATATTTGTTATACAACTCAAACAACAAGAGGTTCTAAAAAAACAAAGACACAAGACATCTGAGGTAAAAGCAATATGAAGAACTGAAGACAAGACTGACGTGGCCTTGGTAACTACTCTCCAAGTAGAGGTTTGGGTTGGTGTAAAAAAGATATCAGTGCAAAACACAAAGCCCGATAAAAAGCTTCAAAACACGCCAAAATAGCCAAAACCTTGGTAACAGCCACACCTCATTTTAGCACTATTGTATTGTGTTGTTTATGTTTCAGCAGATATTCTTAGAACATGTGAGGAAGGGTCGTGGATTCATCCATTTTCTTCCTGTTTTTCGAGCGGTGTGTGAAAAAAACGAGACAACATATTTTCTTCCCAATATCTAATTTAGAAGTATCCAAAGCGAAAATGTAGAGACTAGAACTTTAGAAGAGCGATTGGAAGACCTAACAATTTTCGCGCCTTCTTGTGAAATAAAAAAGTGAAGTAACGTAAAAGTTACAAACGTGCGACATAATATAACACAAGCGCCTTTCACATAAAATGCTTTAGTTGCATAATTGATGAACAGACGTGAATCAATGAAAAGTATGGTAGAATTGTAGCAATAATAGATATTTCAGTCAACAATATTTCAATCCGTTACGCAAAGGCGCCAAGCAAAACTAGCCACCCAAATCCCGACATCCAAAGACCGTATTGAAGAAATGGGTTAATATGTCTGGTTTTTAGCTTCAGCATAAGGTTTTCCTGGTATCGGCTACTCTTTGACAAAATAAAAAGGAAATCGGCCTTTCATCTTTGTACACAGCTAATTCATACATGCAGACAGCACCGTATACTCAAAATACGGTCTTGCTGGCAGGTTTTCATGTGAAAATATATGGGCGGGACCAGCAAAGATCAAAGCCTCCAAACAGTGAGGGGTAGAAGAGAAATACCCCTGAGTTACTGTTGTTCTTTGTTTCAACGTATCACAACTACTGAGGTAGATACACAAAACAAGCAAGAAAATAAAACATACATAGTTTTGAAAAACAAAATGTATTCATTAAACTATATGCGGAAAACGTAATCTCTTGGAAGATATTAGGATTGTGGCAGTTTTCTGTTGTTTTTCAGGAGCATAAGTAGCCTGGTAGAGACTTACTAGGACCAAGGAGTAGAAACTCCTTGCTAGGACCATGCTAGCCTTCTATTTCTCCTTCCGATCTAACGGTGCAAAATTAATAAACCTCAGGTTCTGTCAGTCCGAAACTGTACAGTCCGACGACACTAACGTTCTACATATATTACTAGTAGGCCACGTGTGACCTTGTAACAAGTTCGAGCATGTGTCGGCAGCCTGACTCTCTTAACATTTTTCTCAATAAGAAGACACAAATCCCTCGAATTAAATAGTTCAGTAGCAGCTGTCACGAAGAGAAATAGCAGCAAAATCTATGCTTTTACCTAAAATCTGTCTGGATTTGAAAATATCGATGAATTTGAGTAACGCGGTGCGACATCTGCTAACTATGAAGATCCCGTTATGTTGATGATCCCCCCTAGGCCTCCCAAAAAACATGGCGGCATGCCATTTGATGTTTTGTATCAAACAACAACAAACAACAACAAACTTGCTGTAAACTTTGATGTGTTAGTCAATTTAGTACCTACCTTGCTACTTTTTGCCTTTAGTAGTCCCACCAACGCCAGTAACGTCTCAGTTGGTTTCTGTGAAACGAATTTTGAACGGGAGACAGAAAACTGACTTGTGAGTCCGAGAGACCGCGTGGTGAACTGAAGAAAGGCCAGCAGCGATGTTTATTGGGGGTTATTTCCGACTGCACGGCACATGCAAGGTGTGAAAAAATGCAAAACAAACGCATTCCTTTCTTTCAGAGTTCAACACTCTTATGTTGTTATGTTTTCCTTCTCTCTTCCAAGGAATCCACGATAATACATGTAGATCGACTATAGGAAAAACGTCTTCCAGGACAAATTCAGATTGACTCGATTCTTGTTATGACGACAGCGCGAAATGTCACCAATATAATACTGCATTTATCATCATCTACCGACCGTCAGACTTTTTCATCGAGCCCCTCATTCGGTTGACGTTGGTTTGTACCTCCCTTTGTCTGCATTGTCGACAGTTGTCATATACAATGTACTTTTATACTTCAAGTACAACTTTCAATACCAAGTACAACTTTCAATGACCCTTGCGTAAATCTACCAGTTAGTATAGTGTACGAGATTAATTTCAACACATACAAATAAAAACGAGGAAGCGTTAGTGCACTTATTGGGAAAACGGATGGCAATAAATACTCGTATAAAAACTCGTCACTTTTTTTTTAATTTGTCGACCAACTCTAGTCTTTGGGAGACTAGAAGTGACTTCACACTGCAACTTCCCCGTATCCTAGCTACAGCAAGGTCACATTAAAAGTGCACGGTCCGTCCGACTGCTTCTATGCCTCTTCCGACCCAAGCCCTGTGATGATCTCTGTCTCAAAAAGACATTTTTCTTCTCTCTGGGATAAAACTGAATACGGAGAAAAAAGTAAAGGATAACCGGGTAGTCCGAAACACGTGCCCGAAGGCTCTATATCCTGAAATCGATGGCGGCCATTCCACTACACGTTACCTTCTTTCTGTGACTTTGCGGGATCAAAGCAGGGTTTGAGGGCCTTGATCCGACAATGGCAGTACACGGAGTTCGGAACGACAAAAAGGTCACAGAACCACTTTTGCGTGTCCTTGGCCGGGAGCTAGCTTTCCGCCGGCCGGTTTATGGACTTACGCCGGGAGAGGGGCGAAGGGAACACGATCTATGATGAGAAGACACTGACCGGAGTCACTCGGACGGACTCAAGGTTATCAAAGTTGTGGTTTACGTTAAAAGTTGGTAAAGTTAGGAAACGCTTTCTTGTTGGAACAACAGAACAGGCCCGGGGGCAATGTCAATTGCAATGATTTATGACAGACAAGAGGAAAAATATATTTTTTTGTTGTGTGCAGAACTCCTCATATGGATAAGTCCGTTGTGAGAACTCTTACAAACTGTAAATACATCGTTTCAAATATAAAACTTTCAGTTGGCAAACCTTAAGTTGAGTACAGTTTACAGTATACGTAGCAAAAAGCATGTCAGTCTCTAGCATGATGCATACGTTGCATGGAAGCAAGAACACTGACCTGTGGAAGTTGCGATCTTTTGAAAGACTATCACATATGGGTATGTTGAGGGAAAGCGACCTCTAGTGGCCCTGGAGGAAAAGTGCACCTGTACCAGGATTACTGACAACGTCCAGGACTTACCCTTGCCTAACTGATCATCGGGTCTGATAGGGTAAAGAACAGTAAATGCCTAACCCGTGTGCCTAACCCATACCACCTTCTGTCAGTGCATACAACACATCTCTGTATGATCTGCTTCTACTGTACTGTGTGAAAAATACACACCGGGAACAAGCAAACTTACTGAGTCAATGATACTCGTAAGATATTCATTCATTGGAATAGTAGTAGCTAAATGTCTGTCGACTAAATACGAAACTAGGAATTACACATTGTCTTCAATATGTATATATGAAGAAATTGCACTTATTAGGAAACGTTAACAACCGCTTAACCACCGCACCAGATAGGTTGAATCGGCATTCCCTTGGTGTTCCTGATGTTATCTACATTTAGACTAGACTTGAGGTGGTGGTCAAAACAGGTCAGTCAGTCAGTCGGTCTCACGAGGACCTCTGGCGACTGAAAAGTGAGAAATGTGGGGATTTCTTGACTACATGTATATTCAATTCTTTGTTATTTTTGCCCTGATCATACATATACATGGCCTGTGTTCACAAACAATCAAACAAACAAACCAAAATCGTCACCTATGCTTAATTTTGATATGCATGGGCATCAATGACTTTTTAAAAGAAAGATTGTCAAAAACATCAGACGACTGCTTTCCATAACTTGGCCAAAACCTACCTAAGCGCAAAAAAGCACTACTCATATTTCTCATGCAAACAATCATACAATTTTCAGTTTCTTGGGGCTTTTATTATATCAGACCACCAAAGCTTATGTCACACTATGTCTCTTATACGTCAATAAACCCTCGCCTGAAATGTTGACTGGTGTTACTATGAGAGAAAGGGCTAACTTGGAGTCGAGTTTCCAATATTAGATATCCAATTATTGCATCCGTAAATATGATTCCATAGGGTTGGTGAATGATTGAGTATCGAAGTTCTTTATTCACAACCACTTGTTTACGAGAGCCATTTGTAAACAAGTGGTTGTACACTTAACAATTAGCACAGAATGGATACACATTGCCCTAAAAATTGCTTTAATGCGTGTCGAACTCAGAACAAACTAGCTGCTAGTATTTAACTAATCTCTAAGAGGATGTGGTGTTTTACGCCGGCTTTTGTGATACAACTTTTAGAGGTCCGTATTTTTCTCTTTCCCTCGCCTTACAGGGAAACAAAAGAAGACTATTATTGGAAAGAAGTCAAATTGGAAATTATTTTGACACCCTCTTTTATTTGTTTGTTTTTCTTTGTACAAATTTCACCCACCTGCTGTCCCATAATTCACCACGGTGGTCCCGAGCTAAAATGACGTCACGCACCGGCTTCAGCACATGCGCACTCCACGTCACTACTTAGGCCCCATTCAACCTTCTACCATCTAAATTCGGCCTTTTTTTCTGGTCTTCCTAGTGTGTGTATCAAAATATACAGCGATGCCAGAAAATATGATATCCTAGAGAATCGTCCCGTGTCTTTAAATCGTTCCAGTCTGGGATTTCCGGGCGGAAATTCGCGTTTAAAGATCCGATCGCCGGATTGAGTTAGCAAGTGGCGGCCATCTTGGATGGGGCACTAAGAGAGATCTTCCTCGGTTTTCGTCTTTGTGGACAGATATTCGAGGTAGTATATTCTTCTGAACACGGTTATGGCTTTGTGCGAATGTTTTGTTGCGTGTATGGCGTGTCTGGAGTGAGGATCACCGTCATATATTTGACAACGCGGTATTGTCGATGTGGCACTTGGGCCCAGCTAGCTACGTCATGTATGTGGTGGGATGGGGAGGGGGGCGGTGACCAACTGAAACATATCATATTATGTTTTCATACTGCTCTGACCATACAAACAATCTAATTTTATCTGATAAGTAATACCAAACGTATGGCTTTAGTACCTTATGAAGAAACGCATATTACGGTCCATATTTACCGAAATATGCATGAAATATTGATTGTCAACACTAGGTTATAAAAGTTGTTTATCAATCAAATCTAACATACATCGGATATCCATAAATTACAAACGATTTTGATGCCATGTGAGCCAATCTCTCTACTGAGCTATTCTGCTATTATATGATGTACTAAGTTTTCACTTGTGCATGCAGGAACAATGTAAATTATGATCCTCTATGGATTTTAGCTGGACTATGACCAGTTAAAGGGGCCAGCACAAAATATGTACAAAAAAACTGAGATTTCAGCTAGCCTTGTGCATTATACTGCATGTGTTACACTGGTGTGTTATTCCAAAGGGCAGTTACACTGGCTCGACAGATATGGTCATATGTATAGATCAGTCCTCTGCTTTACATGTGGTTTGAAGTTGCGGTTCCAGTACACTACAAATTCAAGAAACACTGTTCTTCATTCAAACATGATTTTACATGGACAGCCCTTGCTTCACTGTATTTGGTCACCAGCTGCTCAGAACTCACAACAGAATGGCCCTTTTTTGTCCAAACATAAACAGGACCTATGGTTGTTGTTAGGAACTGAATTGTTCAACTGTGGAAGGCTTTTATGTGTGTGAGAGCTGACACAGATGTGACATGTCTGTACAGTTCCTGCATCAAAGTGCCTGCATCAAATATGTAAATTACATAGAAAAATACTGCACAGAAGTGCATAACACCATGGAGGTAAAAGAGTCTACCTCCATGATAACACAAAGTTATGAATGGATCTTTGCAATTTTTGGTATGTCAGTATGTGCTTGCTATTATGTGAAGGGCAAGATTGCATATGTGCCCCCTAACAGCTTTCTATGGTACTGCTATAGAATATCTGGTTTTGATACCTCATGTTCTGGGCATGCTATAGTCATGTTGTAAGTGGAGTTGTCATCAAATGGTACAATTAGATGATGTTGTACAGTAGTGTCACCACTGTATGCTGTTCCAATTTGATTTTACCACTGTAATTTCATTACCTATTGTAGAACCCTAAGGGAGACCAATGAAGTGTTATTACTTACAAGATGAAATTGAATCTACTTGGTGATCTATACCAGCACACATATTAATGAGAAGTTACTTTTCAACAGGTATAATTATCCCTGACTTGCCAAGCTACATTCCAGTCTTTAGTTGAGCATCTTTACCCAGTGGATCTTTTCACAGAGCACATTGCATGCTGGGAGATTGTAGGCACTATGGGTAACTCTGCGAAAATAAAATCATGACAACATAGACAAGACACATTGTGCATGTTTCACATGTGTTGTCATGGTAATGAGTAAAAATGACAGGAGTGCTCTAAGCTACCCACAGTGCCTTGCATCTCCCAGCATGCAATGGGATATGCGAAATTCTCTGTCCTGTCAGGTTATAATGTTATCAATATAAGAGGGACAGGGTCATAGAGAATACATAAGTTCTGTAAAGCTGCTACATGTAATGACAAAGCTAATAGTATAATGATAATTATTATGTACTGTTCCTCTGTAGGTGTCTGACAACCATGCCAGTGCCAAGTAATGGTATTTACATCATCCAGGGGGAGATTTCAGTTCTTGTAACAGCCATCCGTAGGAACTCTAGATGGACTTCACATAGCCATCAGGTATGCTTTACCTCTCACAGTAACTTTTACATTAACCTTCTCACTGCTGGGAGAGCCTTTATTACTGAATTCGTATTGGTCACAGGGCAAGGCAGTAGGAAAAGGCTTAAACATCATCTCAACTGCACAATTCAATAACCTCTCACAGAAACTTTACATGTACTAAGTAACCTTCTCCCTGCAGAGGTAGCCTTATGCCAGTTATGGTACCAAGTTTTTATTAGTTACAGCACAAGGCAGCAGGGAAAAGGTTAAAAATAATGCCATTATTTGCATATCAGGCGTTTTGCTTGGAAGGTAGCATCTTCCAGAAGGACATCTTTTCATATATTAATGTATACAAAATAAATAAATAAACTTGTAACATATGCAGATCAATAGAACAAATTCAGAATCAAACCTCTACAAATGTTTTTTTTTTCTTCAGACAATTACTACAATGTATTTATCTAAACTTCTATTTAAGTCTTTGCTATTTGCAAATTGTAATTATGGTATAGTATTGTAGACCACAGACAGATTGACTGGTTTCAAATTTGTTACTGTCTCCTTCTATACTTTAAAGCTCATGGATTCATTTCAACAATCAAGCGTACACTTTAGAGTTCCTGACAGCTTGCAGGATGTAACATTGTCTCTGATTGGCCAATTTTGCCTAGTGACAGAAGACAATTGTGTATAGGTTGGAACCTTATACGAACAATATGACAGCTGAGAGTTGAACCGACGAACTGCCTCACAAAGAATGGCTTATTTACAGTAAACAGTTGTTCAAATATAGACTGGAACGTGAGCGTCTGTATTTTCACGGGTTCTTTGTTTTGCTTTTTGAGATGCAGTTAGCTCTTGAACTGCTAGGTGGTACAGTAAATTTACTTACAGTATCTGGTGCATCAATCCAAATAAAATTTGACAAGTTAGAATAGCAACAAAAGTAGAAGGATCTTATATGATAATCCAAAGACAAGAGTGTATATGTACAGGTCTGAAATATTTTTTTTCCTGCATACCTAATCTTATGCATGTAACATTGAGAACTACTTGACCAGACAAATTTTACCTGTGCCTCTCAAGATTTAGGACGTATTGATCATGTTATTCTTAAAAACTGCTAAAAAACCATTGCCATTATTTCTTCAAAATTTCCTAGGTGGTAACACTCAATGCAGCAAAGAAAAATCCATTTGTTTACAAACACAGTAGATGGACTGGTGCAGGTAGACATTAGAAATTTTAAGTGCACTAACCATATGCAGGTGGTATTTCAAGGCTGATGGATATATCAGTACATATTACATACCTTATGCAAATTAACCCTACATAACTGTTCTCAAATCAGCTTGTTGGCTAGTGTTCAATTTATAACCAAATCAATCAAAACATTAAAAGTTCTGTGACAGCTTTGTTGTTGTGTTGGTCCAGATAAGGATCTCAACTGCAAAATGACTAACTTGGCAGTCAGGAAAGACCATTAGATCCCAAATTATGTCCTGATTGAAAGATGGATGTGAAATTGATTGTGTTTATGTGCATAGCAAATGTCAATCAAAGTTTTGAAATGACTTGACCCTTAGCCCTTGGCATTGGTGGTTTGATGGAGCGATGCACATGCATGACTTTACACACTTAATAAGGTGATGAGTTTTTGATAAAGATAATAAGCTCATTTGTCAGAAAATTAGATTATAGTACAACTTGTAATACATTTACAATCACTACAAACCATTGATAGGGTATGAAATACTTTTTTTTCTATTATCTGAAATGTTGTAAGCATATATATGACCAGTGAAGTTCTGAAAACTTGTCCAGTCTGGTATAGCTAAATCTTTTCTACCCAGCAATATTTTGTTCCTGCAATCTGAAAAATATTTTTGGCAAAATGCTGATTTTGGGAGGGTATTTCCATCTCTGGATGAAAACTAACATACTAGGTTTCTGTTTATACCATCTTTCATGTTATTAATATGTATCAGCAACCTCTTGTATTAGTGTTTTTATGAACTAAAATAGCATATTATTTTCTTGTTTTCAGGATGAAGATCAGGATCCCCTTTTGAGCAATTTTTCTGGGCTGAAAGATGTTCTGAATAATGTTGCAGGTAAAGTATATATCTATCAATAAAAATTTGGTTAAAATTAAGGTATCAAGGTTTTGATTAAAGCTTTGCCCAGCAATGTCCCCATGTTAAAAGCGAAATCATGGAAAAGGCCTCATCTGTTTTGATGTTTACATTGTACTTAGACGGAGATTGTTGATTGTCCATTGTTCCACTACCATTCTTCCACCTGGTCCTAACAGTAAAGCTGTTTGCTTTTTTTTTACTTTTTATTTGATTAAGATTTACCATATTTGAGGAAGGATTGACATAAAAGGTGACTATCACCTCTTCAAAGATGTCAAACCTGAAACCAGACCGTAAGGTTTGAACAACTCACACTGGGAAGGTGCTCAAGGTGTGGCTCTCCCAAACACAGGACCTCTGGCTTATCGTCCTATCCGAGGGGGCATCCCTAGCCGAAGCTAGGTGCTCATTTACTCCTCAGTAAAGTGAGAAACGTCCTGTGAAGTGCCTTTCCCAGGGGCACAAGATCGATGACATGGCAGGATTCGAACCCGGGACATTTTGGTTCTGAGCCAAACATGCTACCATTATGCCGCACGACCCCACCACTACACCCTCACTACTAGTACTACACACTCACACTTGCATCATGATTCAAGTGCCTTCTTTCAAAGTTGTCTCAATATAATGTTGCCTGGTCATCAAAAGCATGAATTACAGTGACCAGTAAGCTGAAACGAAAACTGTGTGATTTTTTTTATACCCTGACCGAAGTGTTTTTATAGACTGTATGATGTACTTATAACACCCCAATACTTTTGGGCAGATCCCTCGCTTTCACAACTTTCAAGTAACCTTGCCCACTTCAAGTCATAGTACCTCATCTGGTCCTGTATGAAAGTTTGATTCCAGATATGAATATTTCAGATCGACATAATGTACCAAAGTGTTTGTGGTTTAGCAACCCTCTCCAGTACAAAATGTCAGCATGTATTTTTGATAAGGCAATCATCCCGACATAATTGGTGGGTAGTGGCATGACAGTTTTTTAGGAGGAAAGGGTAACACAGATACATGTTAGTGAAATCTTTTGAGGGCCATTAAGTCATTAGTGTACACCTGCTGGGCATAGAGATGCGCAAAGTGGTCCCGACGTGTTATCTCCATTGATTTGTCAATGTCAGTCCTCTCGGAGGGCTGCAAGGTGACAATCTTTCTGCTCATTTTTATGTCCCCACCACCCCATTCCGTATTGCTTCATCTATGAATCTGTGGCTGTGAATATAGATGGCGGGATTTACCCCTGCGCGAATACGGGGGAGCGGGAAGTTAAGAGATGCGTCGGCAGCGCGACTTCCGTCCGGGAACGGTCGCCAGCACGGAACAATGAAGATTAATTTGATGAAGTTAGGTCGGCAATTTTGGTAAGTTTGCAGCATTTAAGCAAGAGGGTGGATCAGAATGGATATCAATCAAATCTCTTCTCCCTACTTATGGTTAGGCATGACATGGTCCAGTTTGAACAGTCACATGGACTGCCAACCACACCAGCAACTAGAAAATTATTATTTAGATAACTCTGCCCATTACAACATCATGGTTATGATATGATATAAAAATATTATTAAAATACAATGTTGCTGATACTATTACACAGCAACAAACTTTAAATTTACAAATACCAAATTGACGTAAAATACATTTTTCTTCCAACAGTATGTAGTATTCAAAACTTATACAACTAGCTATACTACTGTGTGTATACCAAAGTACATTGTGCTTCTATTGAAGTTCTAAGTACATTTAAAAGCTTTTTAATCCTTCCAAAAAGCAACTGAGTATTCTCCAAAAGATGCTGCCTTAAGTAGAATTATCTGCCAATTAGACACTAAAAAAAAAGAAAAGCACAACATAAACTGTTGTTGCTTTTATGTATGAACAAACAAAGAATGACATAAAACTCCAAAACATACAAGATCAACTTGCATAATACTTAAAAAGAGCAGCTTTGACGTAAAGCCAGAAAATCCCAATTAAGAGTGGGATTGCTTTGAAAATGCATAATCTTTAATCCTACCTAATACCTTCAAAGTAAACAAACATTAAAATCTATCTACAAACCATAGTTGGCTGTGCAGAGAAATATATTGCTGGAGAACAATGTCGTAAAAAAGTCATAGTAACAATGCATTGATAGACTGGTGCACACGTGCCAATGTTATTGCATGTCCATCTTGCCTATGCAGTCATTTACAACAAGTATACCAGATAAGCATACTAAATAGTGGATAAGCATTAAAAAGTAGGAGATTATCTATGTGGATAAAGATGTACTTACCGGTTTGTGATGGCTGGATGTGGGGAGGATTTGATCGGTGATGTTGGTTGGTTGGCTTGGCTCTGTAGAGAGAACACAATCGGGTGTGTTGTCAACACAAGTGGTCTGTCAAACTGTGCCCAACTGTCTCCTCCACTCTTATACCCCTCCCATACAACACCCCTGATACCTACCTCATCATTTACTCATTAAATAATGTGGCCTAGATGAAATATTTATAAGGACCCATCCCTCCCCCCCTCCCAACCAACTTAGGCAGCTATCAAGGCAATTTGTGTTTGTTACTTAACAATCACTACGGACAGGGGGGTTAGTAAGCCGTTCCTGACTAATAATAGATGAAAATGGAGGATTTACTCCAAGATTGATACAGTATCCACCTTGTTAGCATATTGATGGAATAGGCAAGTATTGCATCAGTTAAGTTCAAGCCGCTCGTAAATCTGTTCCAACTTTCGGATACGTTAGCAAAAGGGATTTTTTTGGGTGGGGGGGGGGGGCGTACGGTATTGTAAGTGGCAGAAAGATGTTAGAGTACAGGGATGTAAAGAAGGGTCTCATGTGGTTGTCAGGCATGACAAAAGACTTGTAGTGGCTGGATGTAAATGACCTGATACCCCCCTGACAGGCCCACAGTAAACATCTGTACAAGTGATTTGTGGTTTTGGGTAGCAGGTTGGGACAGAAGGGCAGGTGAAATGATAATATATACTGCCCTTGAAAAGTTTGAAATATGGTCATACATTTTAAAGAAATGTAAAGGAAACTCAGGACGATATTTTGGACGGAGCAAATCGTAGTGACGACTTTCTTTGTTTTCAGTGGAAAAATTTTATTTCTATGGACTACATGTACCTGTTATAACAAATTATTTTATCTCATCAATTTACCTTTAAAACATGAAAAATATCTGAAAAATAAATATGGAAAAATAACCTTTTGCATATGCTGTATGATGTATGGCGGAAATTTTGTGCCTAGCCCAAGGGTTTTCTAGAAAACCAGAGCAGATAGAGACCACATTTAGATGACTGTATTCTCCTACTGTGTTGAAAATGTCTGATATGCCATGAATCGCCCTAGAAAAGTACAGCATGGCAAAAATGAACAGTGGTAAACAAAAACCAGAGTTACATGTATCCTACTGCTCTGAGTCTTGTTATACATGTACCTGTTGATATTTCAAACTTCTCAATCACTTTCATCAGTTGCAACACGCACTTTCTGACTTTGATCAATTCTATGATGGTCTGTATGGGGGAATTCTAGTACGGTCAGCAACAGTTCTTGTCATGCCAACCCTAACATTAACACTAAAGTTGTCCCATCAACAATCTAGTATACAACTGTACATGAATTTCAAATGAGCTTGTTTATCCTTATCCTAGCCACCAACTCAATTGTGAAGAATTGAGTGACATGCTTTTCTACCATTCTAAATACTGGTACATGTACTTGTTTTAATCCTATCAAAAACTTGTCATTCTTTGTACAACGTCAGAAGGCTGTATGGATCAATATTGGCAGGAATTGAACAATCATTGAAAAGGAAAAGTGTAATGTTATAATCTCTACTCACTTGATATAAAGTCCTGAAGTGTCAAGATGAATGAGTTACGGATCAGTGCCTGACATGTCAGCGTATATCCTGCTGCTAGGAGATCAAGAAAATCAACAAAGATCTGCGTGCAACTGTCCGGTCTTATGACTAATATGGCGGGATTTGTCCGCGCATTGCCCGCATGCTTGTCTGTCAGAAGATCGCGTATCCAACCTCATTCTCTGATATAATTAGCATCCTGTAGTCAGGAATTACGTAGATGCCGTGTCACTGATGATGATGCAAAATAAACAGCTACAATCATACCAACAGAAGCCACTGTGGTATCTAATATTTTGCTCAGAATGTTCCATATGAAAGGCTGAATTGATATGATTATTAATGGCACATACTGTAAATCGTAAAATGTCCGTTACGTTTTTTATGTTTGCTTTTTACGTCTGTGGTTTGCGAAATCAACAAACTACAGACACAACCCGTATCACATTGCATTACTATGGTTGTTTCAATTGCAAACTCGAAACACCTTCTTTTCCAGTCATCTCCAAAATCAAGTCCCCACAAACTTGAATCATTTTACAGTAATTGGTATGGACTAGAGGCTCCTTGAAATGGTTGAAGGACAGCTAGCAACTGGTGTACCCATAGGCTGAAACCCTATCCAGTCTGCCTGGTGTAGGACATACATATCTGACATACAGGGGGACTAGGGAGAGGTATCCAGTCACATCACTCAAAGGAAATCACCCTGACAGCTGCTGCCTACATGTATATGGTACCACCACGTCCGCATACTTACCACTGTCCCATACCAAAGTCAATCCCCTTAAAACCTTCGGCATTAGGGAGAGTTAGAGAAAATTCACTGTCTGTTGTCAAAGCCATAAATCAAGCTAGAGACACAGTAAAAATACAACTACATGTACTTGTTTTTTCATCAACATAACCAGTAATAGCAGTGTAGTTCATTGTAAACTGGGTATTACATGTACAACACATTCATGCTGGCCTCTGACCAAATTTTAAAAAAAACTTGTGTTTAGGAGGTATACGTTAAATTGTGAAAAATAGTTTTTGTTTCATGGTTTTTGGTCCATGCGCATTCCACACTCATCATTTCATGAACATATGCTCTGC